CCCCCCCTAAAAAAGCTTAGGCATTGATGCTTAATTCTGATTGGTGACCTTATGGTACTTAACATTAGAAACAGGCTTTTTAGGATTGCCAATTGGAGCATTGACTCACTTCAGATGCGATGACTTGATTTATCTTTTTGATACTTAGGGAGCGTTATCTGAAAGTTCTCATGGAACTATCTGTGTTTACCTTGAACCCGCTTTTGAAAATTTTATTCTGTTATATCTATTATCAGAGTTCTGATGGCAATAAAGTCATCAAGGAGGTCATCTTTGGTCCAATGGAGAAAAAATACCGTTACTGTAAGGTAGTGGTTTGTTTTTTACCGTTAAAAACATTCATGATGCTAAGTTTAGAGTTCATTAAAATGCTCTTCGTTTTTTTTCTTTTATACAGCATATGGCAAAACAGCGGCTCCCAAACCTATCAGATGATCTGATGAAGAGAGGGAAGCACTTTATCTTGATAAGGAACCCCCTTAATATCTTGGTAAATATGCCTTATTTGAAATTGTAGACTGCAACTTAGTAGTTTAATTAATTAATGCTTATCAATATAATCTCCCTGCATAATTGGTACTGCAGCTAAAGGAAGTGTTTTTGACAAAGATGTTAAGCTGATCATATTGTGCTCCAAACTTCTTTTCTTATGTCAACTAGAAATGTTGACTTTTTATGCTAACGATTTCGACCTGCTGGGTGCAGCTCTATTAGGAGTCAAATTTACATTATTAGGCTACTAATTAAGGTTATTTGGTTGGAGCATTTAAATATGGGGTTTTTTTTTTATTTTTTCAGTTTTGATTTATACAATAGAGATTATCTTTTTATCTTATTCTTACCAGAGTGCTGTATCCCTTGATTTTACTTAGCTAGTGTGCCTGTAACCTGAGTGGATTAGGATGTTGACCTCTCCCGACTCTTGAATATCTACCCTTACCTTCAAATTCAAGCTTTTGTTTCTTGCTTTAGGATTGCTGTCCAAGTTTAGTCCAGCTGTTGATTGTGCTGGATTTCATTCACCATCTCCTTTCTCATTCGTTGTCTATTCTGGTAATAGCCTAAATCATCCATTGATCCTTCATAACATTAGGTCGGTGTTATATAGTATTAGAGCCCCAAAAACTTTATATATTTAGAGATTTATTTTTCCCCACTTATGAGTTTAAAATCCACATAACCTAAACCACCCCGTCTTTGTCAATTGAAACACTAATTTAGACAAAATGGGCACCATGCCGTTGAGAAGAAATATGCAAAGAGGTGTTTTACAATGGAAGATGTGCAAAAATATCCTCTAACTGTAACAAAAATTTGCTGCCTTTAAGAGGAGATAACTCAAAAATGTCACCCTAGTCATAATGGTAACTCTCTTGATCGAGAAGAAATAAACTCTTCCATCAGAAATTTTATAGCAATTAAAACCCAATCACACAAGTATTTGGCATTAAAAATCAGAGGGGCAATTACTTTGAGGTGAAGATCAACTTATCAAATTTTGAAGGACGTATAGATCCGGATGAATTCATTGAATAGCTAAAAATAGTGGAACAATTTATTTTTTTACAAGGGCATTCCAAAGGATAAGAGATAAATTAGTAGCCATCAAGTTGATGAAGAATGCTTTAATGCGGTGGGATAATCTGAAATGACTTCAATAACTGGAAGGGAAGATCAAGATTATCACTTGGTCCAAAATGAAAAGAAAAATGTATTGCAAATATCTTCCTTTATATTACTAGCAAGACATGTTTTTGAAACTCTACAATTTGTAGTGGAGATATTCTTTTGTTGAGTGCATGACCTCATGCCAAAATTTGAGTTGGAGTCAAAAAAACACAGTGACGAGATATCTTGCAGGGCTGAAATCATTTATCAGTAATGTGATATGGTTGCATCCCTATTGGTGTCTACTCGATCCACTGACCCTAGCTTTGAAAGTGGATAAACAACATTGTTACTAGTGGACCACTAAAACTCACAGGCATGGCTGAATTTTAGGTTCAGAGAGCAAGATAATAACCATTAAAGCACCTAAGCTGGCGTCTCGAGAGGGGAAATCAACCTAGGGTGGAGGAAAGGTGGGTGGCACTAACACTCATAAATCCTTCTCAGTCAGGGAGCACTTCAAATCCCACGGTTTTGGACACATTCATTTTGATTGCCAAAGCACAAGAATGATCTATTTCCCTAAGCATGAAATGGTGAAAGAAATAGACAATGACACATGACACAAGTGAAGGTGAGGATGCACAGGAAGAGCACAAGCTTTCATCCGATGAGATAGAGATACTAGTGGTTCAATAGATCTTTCGAATTGAGCTCACGAGAGAGCAATCGTATCTCTGTCACAAAATTTTTCATCCCCATTGGACCTTGAATGTAAATGCGTGCATTCTTATCATAGAAGGAGGCAATTGTGAGAAAGTAGTGTCTGCCTATATGTTGCACGAGTTAAGTTTTGTCGCACAAAAACACACTCGAACTTATGCTTCGTCTTGGTTGAAGATAGGGAATATGATCATAGTTGACAAGAAATGGCTTATTAGGTTTTCTATCAAAGATAAATTTTAAGAGGAGGTGCGGTGTATCATGATATCTATAGATGCTCCTCATATCTTGTCAGGTTATTTTTGACAGTATGATCATTGTACACATCATGATAGCCATATGAATACATTCTTTCATCGAGGCAAGGGGCATTCATACAAAATTGGAGACTAAGTGTCATGAGCTACCTTTGTATAGGTCTTGAGAGAAGCATCAATATGACTAACATTAGTGATCTTTGAATGCTGTGAATTCGGGGAGTTGATGCTAGATATGGTGCAATTTCTGAGGAAAAAATTTTAGAATGTTCTGATCGACAAATTACCTCATTGAAATTTTGCAGTTTGCATCAATAAAAACAAAAGTTACAAAAAAGAGCACTTGCTTCAACATCAAAAGAAAAGCTAAATCCGAAGCGTCATCTGGTTGGTGTTTCCAAGTTTTCTTCTTCATGTGGGATCCCAAAAGCTTCATAATATTGACATTATCTCCTTCAATAATAATCTCCTTGCTCTCGAACATTCATGGTTCACAAATGTTATGCAAAGATTGGATAGCCTATGAATGCTCAAAGTACTTCCCTACAAATCTAATACTTGACTCTTCCTTGTCTCAAATAATGGCTCATGTACCTGCAACTCTGGGAGGGGGTGGGGGGATGCCAGGAAAAGGTTCGACCCGTTGTGTTGGTAGATATCTCATTGCTCTGGAATGAATAGATGTGTGATTGAGTGTGTGCGTCCAATATGGAAGTGGAAAGAATCATGGGCGTAAATGATGAATAATGTAGCAATAACTTCGGGCATGTGTGATGCTACTCATTTATGTCTCTCGTATGCTCTTAATGGCCTCATGAAGTTGTTGAACGTGGGTATGGTGATTCCCCAACCTCCCATGATGTCCTTGACACTCCAAAACAACAAATAATTAGAGGAAATATCGTTTCTGTTTTTTGGATTTTGACAATTTTCCTCCGAGGTTGCCATCGATGATAGATATCCAACATGTCATAAATTTCATTGCAGGATATGTTTTACTAAATCAATTTACCTATCAAATGCGCTCAACCAAGTACAAGGAGTTGAAGAAACAAGTTATTCAAATCCCTGTTCTAGCCATTCTAGATTTCAATTGGGTGTTCGAGGTGGAAAATGATGCTTCATATGTAGGAATTGGAGCCGCGTGAGTCAAGATGGACACTGTAGTGTATCCTTGAGTGAGATATATTTGGAAATATACTATCTATGATGATGAGCTTTGTGTTATAGTGAGAGCCCTCAATAGCTGGAGTCATTATCTGCTAGTAAATGAGATTACTCTCTACCCTAACTATAATGCCTTGAGGTTTTTTGAACAATAGAGTAATCTAAAGAGCAAAACACCCCGTCGATGTAATTCTTATATCCATTAGATTTTGTGATCATGTATAAGATAGGGACTCATAATAAAATAATAGATGCACTGGGCTGTCATTATTTATGGATCATTGCCATGTAGTCAAAGGTGACTAGATTTGAAGTCTTAAAGGATACATATTACACTGACGAGAATTTCAAGGAGATTTAGGTGTGCTGTTAGGATAGATTGTATGGGCAATTCCATGGATTTGATGGTTACTTGTTCTACTAAAACAAACTATGTATTCTTTAGAGTTCACTCAAAGAGAGTATTTTGCAAGAGTGTCACAGTAAAAGGCGAATTATATATTTTGGCTGAGATGAGTCTTTTTTTGGTGAATGAAATTTCTATTAGCTTAAATTCGTATGAGATATGGAGAGATATGTTCGAGAGTTTATGATATGTCACTTGGCTAAGATCTAAGGGAAGAATGTGGGTCTCTATGCAACACTATTTGTTCCGGAGTTACCTTGGGTGGATGTGAGCGTTGACTTTATGATGGGGCTGACTTCGATACATCGTAGCAAGGACTCCGTTATTATATTAGTAGATCGTTTTTTTAAGATGTCACATTTTATGCCTTACCATAAGTTGACGGACGCTCATTAAGAATTCAAAGTTGGATAGATGGATGTGGTGAATCGTAGTTAAGAATTCTCCTCAAGTGTTTTGTTAGAAAAAAATATTAGGCAGTGGGATTTGGTGCTTCCTCATACTAAGTTTGCCTACAACTAGCTCATTAGTCAAATCACAAGTCACATTCCCTTCAAGATTGTATATGGGCAGAATCTTTTCAACCCATTGGAGTTAGTGCCGATGTCTATCTCTCAAGCTTATTACTGGCATATAGACTAGAGTCAAAGATATTCAGATTCTATATGAGTTTGTATGAAAGGAAATTGCCAAACAGAATATCAAGTATTAGAAGCTGATTAACAAGTCAAGAAAAGCTGTGGTTTTAAAAAAAGTTGATATGGTGTTGATTAAATGGAAGAAGAGAATTCTTGCAGAGTCATTTGGAAAGCTCAAGTCTTGAGCCGACAGTCCATTTGGACTATTAAAGATTAATGACAATGCTTAAAAGACTGATATGCTGGGAGATTATAGTATTTCTGCTATTTTCAATGTCTTCGATCTTTTGCCATGCTACGAGTATCCAAATACTTCCGGTGATGATGGCGAGTCTTCTCCTACTCGGTGAGAATTATGCGGATTTCCCGTAGGAGACTCGCACTCTACATCCCTGGTGGAATGATCTCGACTTGTCAAGGGAGGGAGTGGTTCATGTTTCAGCTCCCCATGGGGGCGGGTTGGCTCTTTTTGGAGGCCAATTTACCTTTTTAGGCTGTTAATTAGCGTTATTTGCTTGGAAATACTTAAATATGAGCTTTCTTTGTTGTTTGGGAACTTTTTTGAGTTGTGATTTATGCAATAGAGATTGTTTCTCTAATTTGTTCTTAATACAGTGCTATAGCCTTAGGTTTTACTCAGGTGTTGTGCCTGTAACCTGAGTGGATCAAGGTGGTGACCTCTTCTGGACGCTTGAACACCTACCCGTACTTCCACATCCACTACGTATCTGCTTTTTCTTGCTTCCGGATTGCTGTCCAACCACTGTCCAGCCAATATTGATCCGAGTTTCATTTGCCATCACATCTTTTCTCCTCCGTTGCCCATCCTACTAATATCTTAACTCATTCCTTTGAGCCTTCCACACCGTCTAGGAACCCTAGACCAATGTCACATTTTTTTTTTAATTTGCCTTTAATGTATGCAACATGCTAGTCACAGCATACATTTATATGCACCGAACATAATATCATTGAAGCAACCAAACCTCAGCTTCCAGTTAGTTTATCTTCCAGAATAAAATATGAAGGTATTTTTTTGAAGCCATATCACGATGCAAAACCTCAATCTATTAACACATGCATATAATCAACAATAAAAATAAAATCCAAAATTATGATTTAATTCCATTACTAATGAGATTATGTCTGACCACCACTCACCATCTTTGCTCAAAACTGAAAAACAGAATGAATAACATGACTTTACTGGCTTAGGTAGAGGCATATCCATAATATAATAATTATTAGACTAATAATTTGTCACATGCAACCTTTTACATTAGTCAATAATAATTATTGACAATGCTAACATAAACAATCATAGCTATCAGATTGGGCTTGCCAGAGTGTAATAGCACACCGAGAGAGCTTTTGTAATTTGATGTTTTCGCCTAGCTTGACAAGTCTTTCAAATACATCGATTCCCTTACTGTTATTTTTCCTTCTATTGCTTTTTACTAGACTCCGGGAGTTTCTTGTGTGGTGGTACTTTCTTCTGTTTTACCTTAAATTTTTTTAGTTCTACATAGGCTTACATTCATCAATTACTGATTTTGTTTTTGTCTTATCAGCCATCATTTGATAAAGTTTCTCCCCCATCATTCCTTGAACTGGGATTGGGTGATCTCGTCTCTATATATAGTGAACTATGTAAAGTTGGAAAACCTCCACCTGTTATAGATGCAGAAGATTTAAAAAATGATCCTGAGGTCAGATAAGTGAATTTTTGCTTCTAAGTTTAATATTTATTTACTTCTTTTGTGCTTTCTACATAAAATCTTATTCTTTTGAAATGTGCTATTTCTATTGTTATTAATGGCAGTGAACAAATTTTCTTAAATTTTTTTTTTCTTTGCCACTATTGTGAAATTTTTCATTCAGAGTTATATTGTTGAAAATCACATGCGGATTTTCCTGTAATAATGTTTGCTTAGTATGCAGTTCTTGAGTTGTTGTGGAATGAAAATGGCGTTGTAGAGCTTCATTGAAAATAAAGAGTTGTTAGTGGGGTTTTTTGTAATTTCGTGTATTTTGTTAACTGGCTATATTTTTTATGTTTTGTTGTAGTCCTGTCGACGGCCATACTTGTGAAAGGTTAATGTTGTAACACTATACTTTCTTAAGTTGTTTTTGTGTACTTAATCAATGTTAAAAAATTTAATTTCCATCAATTGACTACACATAATTGCGGACTTCTGGAACAAGTAACTATATTTTCTAAGGAAATGCATTTGAGTTTTCTCTGAGTGGAGAAAGGCAGGACCTTAGTTTTGTAACAAAATGGAAAATTTATATTTGTTGTAAAATAATTTTGGTTATCCATTCATTTTTTTTTTCAGATAACTTGTCACTGTTACTTTTTATTTTATGTGTATAGTATATAGCTTAGTTTATTTATTTAAATTTATTTATGTTGCCTAAAATATTTGTTTTCAATATTCTCTACCATATAAACAAAATTTTTAATGAACATTTTAATATTCTATTTTATGCTAGTTATACCCAAATATAGTTGGGCATGACTAGTATTCATGATTTATATTGTTCTACTCTATGCTTCATTTTGCTATGATTATGTTGGATGTTGATATTTTGTTTTAAAAAAATTCTCAGCTATAATTTTTTTTGCACCACATTTTGAAAACTTGAAAAACTTGCTTTATGATCTGTAGGGTAAAGTCATGACAGATTTTTTCTTTTTTTTTTTATGATGTTTTGATTGTTGAGAAAGGAGTATCTAATATAGGAGGATCAATGAGATTAGAGGAAAAAAAAAAGATTAAGAAGATTACATGAATGATCACCTCAAATGAATGGAGAAATGTGGCAGAGAAATAGAAATCAGAGAACATTTTAGAATACAGATTCAATCCTCAGAGGGGTGCCAAAATGGAAATTCTTTCTTTATTCGGCCATAAATTATTCAACCTAATGCAAAAAAACTTTTAATCGTATTGATAACTTCATGGGCTTCTTAGTCGTATTGAAATTAAAAAAAACGTAAAGTGTATCTTAAATAACAAATGGCCACTATACTCTGCAGTTAAAATGATTAATAAGGAAATTGACATGGGAGCATCCCACACTGCAAGAGTCGCCATCCCGTGTTCCCGATTGCGGAACCAAGTGTTTTTGCAATCACAGGGGAACCGAACCCCACGACGGTCATGCTATCAATTTTTTCACGAATTTTTTAAAATTTCTTTCCATTTAGTTCTTTCTATTATGCACCTATTCATACATGCTTTTTGTTGTTTTTAAGACATTAGTTATGATTTTGTGTGCTTTGGAGATTATATTCTATGTCTTTATCCTAAGAAGTGCTGCATCATCTTGTTTTTAGAAGTGGCAGGCCTGTATTTTGCTTTAGAATTGATGATGAACCTCCTTGCTATCTATACCTCGTTGTTTTATCCTCCAGTCTCGCTTTTTTTAGTCGGGGTAGCTGTCCAATGTCGCCTATCCCCCTTCGAGCATTATTGACCGCTCATGTTTATATTCCCTCGCTTTTCTACAACGGATTTTTTACTAAATCATATTCCTGAACACCTTCTAAGTCTTATAATGGTGTTATCTGGTGTAAGAGCCTGACAAAACCCTAAATCTACGCTTAATCTAAATTTTATATAACATAAATCTTTGAGCAACTCATTAACCTTCTTGTTCCTACCACAGTTTTTAGCCGAAACCCTAAATTTTCAAACGAAAACCTTCCTACCTCCATAAAAAATTCGTCTTGACAACTTCCGCTAAAATCTAAACGACCGACCTACTTTGATTTACAATCCTATATCTATTAAAACTCTAATCGAGAGAAAAGGATACAATACTACTTAGGAGAAGCACTCAAAGAAGTAATTAGGAACATGGAGGATATGAAGCGAGAAATTCCTCAACTACAACAATGTTTGATGCCTTTGAGAGGAGCTAATCTGATGATATCACCCATAGCTACCATGGTGACATGCCCAATTGAGAGTAAGAAATTAGTCCCTTGCACTATGAAATTTTGAGTGATGAAAAACTAATACTCCGACAATTTGACATATAATATCAAAGGAAAAGTCATGATTTTGGAGTGAAGGTTGACGAGTCTAAGAATTTTGAAATAAATGTCCGAATCACAAATATAAAAAATTACAAGTCTAAATCACCTAGTGCAAGGAGTTGACAACACTAGTATTCTGAATATAACAAAAATGATAAATTTCAAAAAATTTCAAACATAAAAATTTCAAATATTCTAAATCTTCGATGATGACCGAATTGATTGTATATTTTAATCGAATGATTTATTTTTAATATTAAGCTCTAAATAATATTCAAATAAATTCAACTAGTGTAAATCATGAACTTGATCCTCTGTGAGTGGGACAAAGTCGATAGAGATCGAAGACAACATTCCCCAGTGATGATCATATTAACTGAAAATTTTAACCAGAGGGATTAACATTCAAATTAATTGTTAATTCAAGTTCTTAAAATAGTAAATCAACATATTTAAATTTAAAAAAATAACCTAAATACTTCAAACAAAAAAAATCAATCTCTCAAAGCAAAATCTGTCCATCCTTCATAACAGTTCGTCAAAGGTGACAAATTTTATTGACTTCAGCTCGAAATGAACGAATATCACATTGAGTGTATCATTATATTCACACTTAAAGCGACTCATGTCAGTAAGGGCATGACCCAAGTTTTCTGTTCACGTGGTTTTACCGCCAAATGACATCACAAAGTAGTGGTTACAACTAGAGTCCTCTGACCTGATGTTTGCAACCAAATGACACTTTTATATTACGGTCATGACCATAACTCGTATGTTTGCTAAAAACATTTTACCCATTGAGTTGTGAACCATATAGGTACAATTGATTGGTATAAAACATTCTGTCAGCTAAGGTTGACTTAAATTTGTCTCCTTAGACAAGTTTTCACCCTAGAACTAAAAAAGTCTCATAGTTGACGCAACCCATGATTGCTGACAAAGCTTCAGCCATATTTGGCCGACTACCTCCTCTAATTTTGTAGATTAAAGATCATGACGATGCCGAGAAGCTACAAAAATTTCAAGTGATTTTGACTTGCAAAATAATTTAAATGATGACTTGCAAGTGATTTATTATTATTAAAATATTTAGAGTTGTAAATTGACTTAAATATGGAATATTTGAACTTGCAAACATGGCCTGATTCTGAAGTTAACCCTACACACGACCAAATGATACAATTTTATTGTTGAATTCAAAGAAAATATAACAATAACTCTTAACATAGAACAACAGTAACCTGCAAACTATCAAACGATAATGACTCCTCCAACAAGAATAAAACATCATGAAATATGAAATAACACGGTAGAAAACACATAAACGACTTTCTCAAGAGGAGGGAGACATGTCCGGTTGGAAAGGAAGGGTGCGTGGCGAGAAACATAACGGTGTAGGGCTGTTGACAGGATGCTAGGGAAGGTGGACAGCGACCGGAAAGATGAAGGGGGTGGCCTGGACAGCGACCTGGAGGGGGGACAACGACCGAAAGATGAAGACAACGGTTTGGGCAGCAACCTGGAGTGTGGATAGTGACCGGAAGATGACGATGGTAATTTGTACATCTACTTGGAGGGTGGATAGTGACCGGAAGATGATGATGGCAATTTGTACATCTACTTGGAGGGTGGATAGCGCCCAAAAGATGACGACTGTGGTCTGGATAGTAACCTGGAGGTGGACAATGCCTTGAAGATTACGACAATGGTTTGGACAACAACTTGGAGGGTGGAGAATGCCCGGAAGATGACGACAACGACCTGTATAGCAATCTGGAGGGCGGACAATGCCCTGAAGATGACAATTGTTTGGACAAAAACTTGGAGGGTGGACAACACTCGAAAGATGACAGTGGTGGTGTGGACAACAACTTAGAGTGTGGACAACACCCAAAAGATGATTACATCGGGCTGCAGTGGGGAGTTGGAAGGATAACCTGTGGAGACGGTCACCACCTTGGATAAGTTAAAGCCATAACTCCTTGCTGTCGAATACAAATCTTAAAAGGGAATAACGCCTCAAATGTAGCAAATTGAAATCTTGAATAATAAAAAATTGAACGCTAACACTACCAACAATATATTTATAATAGATATTAGTAAATAGAATAAGGATCAGAATAAGAAAGAAAAAGATAAGGAAGGGCATAGAATATGCAAAGAGTAAATAGATGAATCATAGAAAAGGAAAGACAATAGGAGGGAAGAGAAAAAGTAAATGGGTAGGGCTGGACCGTAGTACTGTAGCAGCTACGGTACATACGGTACCACGTCCGCCGTACTCAAGCTGCTACAATATCGTGGCCCAATAATCCCTGCATCAATCTCTCGAATTGTGGGGAGCTTTGACTTCATTCGTCGAAGCTTCTTGCTCTTCATTGCATGGTGTCAAATCCCTGGGTAAGTCAATCAAGTAGGCATTGTTGTTCTAAAGCACATTATGATAGAATAGGTATTCGTCTTCTTTTGATACAACCTGAGCTGAAACTGTAAATGGATGATTATTTTCACAAATCATGTACTGAGCTTTCCCATTTGTAAACTGCTTCTTCCACTCCTCACACTCGTTGGAATTTAGCTGATAAACCAGTATGTGGGAAAAAATTAATTATAAGGTGAACTATGTGGCAGACTGCACCATTATTACTTGCAACCACTCAG